TATATATATATATATAGACGTCTATTCCAAACCTACAGATAGCCATTTATATCTTCCGCCTTCCAGCTGCCATCCTAAGCACGTTTTCAAGGCTATTCCTTTTGGAGTAGCCACAAGATTGAAAAGAAATTGCTCTGAAAAAGTATTTTTTGCCGAGAGAACAGCTGAGTATAAAGAGTACCTTGTTAACCAGGGTTACCCTTCTAAATTAGTTTCTAAACAATTCTCCAAAGCCTCCGCCATTCCTAGACATAATTTACTCAGGACTCATGGAAAAGAAGCGAAGAAACTATTTCCATTTGTTACTACATTTAATCCTAACTTGCCCGACATAGGCAACATGATCAGAAAGCATTTGTTTATTGAGCAATCTAACCCCAAATTGAAAGAACTTTTTCATCAGTGCAATGCTGATTCTAGGACTGGAGGTAAATCAAATAGCCACCCCAAATGATTCCACATATGTGGTAATTAGTTAGAGTTGCTTCTCGAAAATTGCCAAACTTCAAAGAGTACTGCCTTTGGCAATGATGAATATCAACTACAAGCGTTAATGAAATGAAACTTGCCTCTAAGCTTAATCAGCTCTTCTAACTTCTCCTTTGTGGCTTTCTTAGTCTTCTCATAATCTCTTTGTAGGTCTTCTATATCCCTCTCCACAAATGCTGCATGTACGAGAAGGTTTACAAACACAAGATACTTTGAATTGATTAAAGGCTGCCAACGTCTTTGAAGAGTATTAAAGATACAATGACTTTAACGACGATTTCTTACTAAACCAGAAAAGTTGAACTTACCTTCAATCTTTCGCATTTCCTCTAAACGCGCTTGTAAGATGTGTTTAAATTTTCCATATTCCATCATTTTATCGATGAACTCTAAATCTGAAGTCGGGATAAATTTGTCTTGTCAGGAACACAAGACTGAGTTTCAACTGTTACAACGTTGTATGTTGAGTAACTTTCACGGCAAAGAGCTACACATAAATAAGATCACGAAAGGGAAGAAATGGACAGATCTTTCAATAGTTACTTTGCAAAATCACGCGGAGTATCTCCAGATACTTAATCGCAAAGGGAAAGGACTTTCTCGGTTTAAAACAAGTGATATTCATCCAAACTAATAAGGATAGTTTCACAAATCGCTGGTTCTAACTTAAATCCAGATCATTGGAGGGAGAGGAGACTCTTAAGAGCAAATGTGGCCAAAAATCGAACATTTTCAAAATATTGTGGCAACAGCCAAAAAATCGATTCGGCTCATATTCTCTAGTTAGGTAGGCCTTATGGTGAAACAAAGCACTGCATTCTTCGTTTGGCTGAATATCGATTTATTTTCGGGAAAATCGACAAAAGTTGAATTTCGTCTAAATACCGCTTTTGAAGCTCTAAATTTCAGACGAATCTCGGAGCGTCGCGCCACGAATTGAAAACACTCAGACCGAAAAAAACCACTA